TAATCCCAGGAAGACCAAAGGGAAGTATCCAATGCTGTCTTCTTCATGGGAAGGCCCATATGACATAGTGGATTGTCTCTCATACGTGACTTTCCAAATAAAATGTGGTTGGCGAGAAATTAACTGTATTACAAAGTTTGTAACAAGAAAGAATAAACTAGTTTTAATTAAGAAAGGACTTGTATCGCTGAAGTTTCTCCGAAAGAATTTTTACGGGAAATTAACAAACAAGCAGATACGTAACAGCCCTTTCAGCTGTGAAAGACATTAAATGTGTCGGACAATCCCAATTTTAGTTGGTAAAGAGTAACAGAACAGTTGACAGTAGGTGTTGTTGACTATCCCCGTTCCTTCCATTCTATATTTCTAAATAAGGTAATGCTAGTGCAGATAGACTATGAGTGGCTTTGCACAAAATTCAACAAAACAAACAAATCATACAGTGTATTCAGGACCCCGAGTTGAACGCAATTACGTGGTCGAGGAATTGTTTGCATAACCGCATAATCAAAGTCTGAATTTCTAGACTTATTAAAGCCTAGATAAGTGTTACTGTTACCAGATTTATAACATTTGGCTTTCGTTTCTTGTTATCTTAAGTGATGCCTGCTGATCAGACAGTCTGATTAATGACCTGTCAAGACTTCTAAAGTCTAAAAGATTGTTTGTTGTTGTTCTCTCACAAAAACTAAAAGACTCAAATTGCTGTTGATAAAAGAATTGAATTAATTACATCTAACGTTATTTTAAACGTGAATGGCTTAAGTTGTTTTTACTTAAAGCGAGGGCTGCATAACTGTAAATTTTGTTGCATAACCAACGTATGTCTTTTAAATCGGGAATTTTATGGTGCTTAGCTTAAAACTATTGGCTGCATAATTTCAATAATTGTTGCATATTATTCGGGGTTCTGTATGTTTTATCATAATGGGAAATTTTGTTTGTTCGTGTGTGGTATTCCTAGGTTCACTGATTTCCTTTAGAGTAATGGATAGGAGAAGCAGAATAACAGGAGGGTTGACGGAAAATGTTTTACTAAGCAAAATTTGAATTCTCCACCTTCAACTGACTTTGATGCAATGAAAAAGATTCAATACAAGATTTTTTTATGTCAAAGCTACTAAGACCAGAGGAAAACAACCAGCCAGCAGCACCCATAACCAACTCTTTTGACCATTAATAATGGTATTAACCATCACTTTATAATGCTTCAGTGACTGAAAGGGCAAGTGCGTTTGGCACTGGGTTTTGGTCACAGAGTTACGAGTTGATTCCCCTAACCATCAGGCCTTGGGCATAAGTTTAATACAGTGAAGCAATATGTATTTCAAACAAACAAAAATCGAATTTTAAAACCAGTGTATTTTGTGGGCACCTTTATCGGAGAATTCAAATCTTAATCAAGTCAATAATGCTCCAGATTAAGAAAACATGTTATTATATTCTTAAAATAACAGTTCTATTTTTCTCAAGGCACAAATGCTACCCAAATGTACTGACTATCACCCTCACTTAAAAATACAGGGCATTTTATCCTTGAAGTATATCCTGAGCTGACAGTAGAAAAATATTACTATTTCTGTGCATTAAGCTCCATTCTACAGGAATCTTTCCTATGAGGAAGTGCATGTGACATCCAAGTTGAGTCAGTAGTTAACAAGGACAGGAGGAAGTTTGTGGGCTCCTTTGCCTAATTCTATATAATGACCACATACAGGATATTTAGAAATTTAATATATCAAATAAGGGTGTAGGAAACACAGTTTGCCTGTAAATCACCACACCTGTTACAATACTCACTGTAAATAACCAACAAAAAAATGAGTGAAATTACACACTTTCTATGTAAAATATAAAGATAACCCCAGCAATAATTAGTTTGTTTGTAATTAAGCACAAAGCTACACAATGAGCTATCTGTGCTCTGCCCACCACGGGTATCAAAACCCGGATTCTAGTATTGTAAGTCCGCAGACATACAGCCGTGCCACTGGGGGGCTCCATAATTAGTCAAATAAGTTGTAATATTGGTATCATTTTTGCTTGAATCTTTTTTGTTACTGTGTTATTAAAGCCCCTCTAATCAACAAAGTTGTGAAACAACAAGGAATTGAATGCATGAACAGTTTAGAAACTATGTTTAAAAAAAGCATAATTTTAAAGTTATTGTTAAAAAATAAAAACAGGCAATTTAAAAAATGTATAGAAATACTGTACTCATCTAGAAATAAAGAGATGCCCAAATGTAAAAAAAAATCATAAATGAAAAGATAATAATTGAAACCATGTTGAGCCATTAATGTACTCTATGATAAGAAGAAATTAGATCAGTGAATATAATTAAGCAAAATAATATACTGCAGAATAGTTCGATGAAAGAAAGCAAAAATGTTTTATTACTGGAGTCCAGTTGAACAGGGGTCCGTATTTGGGCCTTTGCTTTTTTTTTACATTAATGATATTAGACAGAAGCATAATTAATAGAGGGTATTTATAGCTGTACTGAGGACACTTAAATACCACTGAATGGCATGGATGCATTGGTAAGTTGGACAAATATCTGGCAAATAATCTTTAATTTGGTTTCTTTATATAAAAAAATCCTATTGGTTATTGGAAAGATCAGAGGTATTTGAGTGTTGTTGCTCTTACCTGTTTTTATTCTAAACAACTCAGAATAGGTTATTTTTAAATTTACAATTGATAAAATATAACACATGTATTAATATATGGGCAGCAGCAGAAAACTGTTATATTTTACACTTTCATAACTTAAAGATGGTATCTTTATTCAGGTTATACTGGTAAGTATACTCAAAATATTTGTGCAAGGGTTCTGCATTTAATTAGCTGACATTCTCATAAACTTGAAGAAATTTTCTGTCTCAGACAAAAAGTTATATACTAAATTGATCACTCCACAAAGGATTATACTTGTATGAGCCTGTATCATTGCTCCCTTTGGATGCAGGTTGTACTCAAGTTGAGAGTTGATACAGAGATTTGTACAAGTTAGTAAGAACTTGGGTAAAATCCCTCTGAATATATACAATGGCAATGTCATTGATGTAGGTAATCTAGGATGATGGGATCTACTGTTTATCGTAGATCTTGATACTTACCTGTTGGGCATCAGTAAGCCTGAATACTATACATATACACATGGTTAGGGAGATTGTATGTGATTTAAAGTTCTTATTTTATCTTTAGCAAAGGGTTATGGTTTCAATTTGCAGAACTCTGCTGTATGTAAATTGTGTTTGATTCTTCATTAAATTATATACATTCTTCCCACATCTAATTTACTACAGTTTTTAATCATATGTTTCAATGTATTTTACAACTTTCTTTTTATATCAGCTGGTGATATATCTCCACATTAACACCTCAAATCCTGCAGAAAATAACCCACCATTTAATTAAAATAATGTGAAGGATCTGTAAAAGGGGTATTGTTGTAAAAGACTGTGTTCATAATATCTGAAAACAAAACTAAAATGTTTCTCTAAACTCTCAGACTGATGTGAAACTATATTAGTTAGATAAATTGTTTAAACCAAAACATATACCAAATGATTACATCTGGTAAAACAAAGATCTACGAATATACTGAAAAAAGTAGATAGTGCGGAACTTTGATTAACATGCTGTTTGAAAATCAGACTATTCACTATAAATTGACGAATGAAGGTCAAAACTTAACATTTTGAGATAATACAATTGTCAAAATAATCAAAACAAGAAATAATACAAAGAGTCAATCAAATCAAGGTGGACTTGTTCATTACATCCCTTAATAATTTAATGTCAAGGGATCATTGTAGTAGTGAGCATGGTTAGGGGTTTTTGAATGTTATAACACATTGTAATTTCATATACCAGTGTTCATTGTAATATGTAAAATCTGTCATACATATGACTGTTATGCAATTTAAGATAACTTGTTCTTTTATATGATGTTCCATTAATTGAATGTATTGGAGGAGGAATTATACTATAATTCAAAACATACTTCATATATATATATATATATATAT